CAACAGTTTACCCAGCTGGGAAGGATGGAAGACTGAGTCAACCTTGAGCCGGTCAGATTTGAACTGCTGAACTGTAGCTAGCAGTCACCTGAATTAGTCTGCAGTACTGCATTCTAACCACTGCACCACCTTGGCTCGTTCATTCTTTACCTATCCAAAAGTTGCCACCATGGCCAACCCTGTTTAAACTGTTGTAAAGTATAAACTTCATAGGCTACTTCATTTGCAATTCCTGGAACTAAGGAAAGCCCAAATCTTAATTAGGTTTTAAGAACTCTACAACCTTTAAATGAGTAGATGTCACTGAAATTAGGCCAGTTCCACAAGGCGGAGGAGAATTGTGGTTTGATGAACGCTAAATGGTTACCTCTGCCTTCTCTGCACTTTCCATTTGTGTGCTTTGACTTCAGGCCAAGAGTCATCAAATGATTTCCTGCAGGAGGGGGAAGAACTGCAGAGATGAGGATGGAGGAAGGAGAAACACTGCTTTACTGCAGGGAGAAAGGAATGAAGATGATCTTTCTTTTTCTCAGGGTTATTTCACTGACTTTTAACAATGTTGAATTGATGCCATTTGCCAAGAAATCCAAAAACAGTCAGCTTTAATCATGGCCATTTGAATTCAGTGGTTAATGCTGAACATGGAAAACAATCAGTCTGGGGTTTTTGTTTTTTTAAGAGTTTTACTTTTGTGGTCAATCAAGATTCTTATCCTAATCTAGATCAGCTTCTCTCAACTTAATGTCTCCAGGTCTGTTGGTCTTTGGCCATGGCAGAGATCCTGGAAGTTATAGTCACATTTGAAGAGCATCACATTTCAGAAGATTTATTTAGACCATTTATGTATTCATGACCATAGTTAGGGCATGCAACTTGTGCAATGCTGACAGAAGTCAGGAGCCCCACAACCACAGTTTGCAAGGTGGAAATAGAATGATGTACTTCTAAACAGATGGTGCTAGGATTTTTTTTAAGACAGCTATAAGTGGATCTTTGTGAAATCTTGAATCTCTGGAAACACAATCTGGATAGCCCATTGATCTTTAGGCATTGCTGTTCCGACTGCAGACCTGGTTTAAAACTCTTTGATCTTTGTGAAATATAGTTTAATAGCTCCTACTTCTCAAACTTGCTTGTGTTTGAGTTGGCAGGTTTGCACAAGCAGTAAAACAATGTGAATGATGGAAGCCTTCTGTGGCCAAAAATGTCACCATGTGACCCTGAGCAGAACACTGGTGAATTTATATGACATGGTTCCGTAACAAGGCCTTTTAAGGCTTAGGTTCTGCAACTCCTTATCCAGGGAAGTCTCATTCTGTCTGAGAGATCTTGGAGGAACTGAAAGAGGCTTTGCAGCCATACATTCTCTTGTAAACAAACCTTGGAAAACCCACGATGGTCAACAGGGTTCATTTCCACATGAGTGTGACTATGATTTATATTGATTGTGTGAATGGCTATGCTGATCATTGAATGATAGGTTCAAACTGGTTGGAAAGAAACACTGATCCATCCTCATGATCCTATTAAATGGCCTCTTTTATTTTTTAAATTCAGCTATAATAAATTCAAAGAATTTATTTGCATGTGTTTTATTTGAGATTTTGAATAGCTATTTTATATAATGAATGACCTATTTTTACAATCTTGGAAGCTGCCATTTTGTACAGTGAGTCTAACAGTATGATGAACCAGCTCTCTCTCTTAGAGCATAGTTTTTTCTATATCTATGGGAAATCAATTCATGATAGAGATAGATGGATGGATGGATGGATGGATGGATGGATGGATGGATGGATGGATGGATGGATGGATGGATGGATGGATG